GGCAGAGAGAGGACATTCTGCTTGGCCTACTGCCCCCGCCCCCAGGCCCCCCGGCCCTTGTCCTCCAGGAGTCTAGGATTTATTGGTATGTCTGATGTTCCTCATCAGGTCCCTGCAGGCCCTCAGTCAAATTTGGCTGGCAGTCGGTGTGCTAAACAAGTGAAGCTTGGAGAACGACCTGGATGTCATGAGATGAACTGTTAACCCCGACCAGCTCCGGGCTTGGCCCTGAAGGCAGCGTGGGCCGGGTAGACGGACCGTGTGCAGATGTTTCTGGACTCTCTGGGGCCTGCTGAGCTGCATGTCTTGTGCTTCTCATGGCTTTGGTTTTTTCCTTTCTTTTTTTTTCATTATGGATTAGGTGTAGGGGCTTACCATGATTGCTGGAGCCCTGCTCTGAGTGTTAAGGAAGCTTTCTTTTTACAGCCTGAACTTGGATGCTCCACACAGAAGAAATGTGGCTTTGCTCACCCAAGAAGTTGCTGTTCTCACGTTGCAGGTCTAGGGAGACCCTCACCATCTGTGCCTGAAAGAGCGTGTCGTTACCGCGTGAAAGAGCCTGAGTGTCAACCTGCGTGTGCAGCTCCTTTTTATACTGCCTTATCTGACAAGGAGCCCTGGGACTCTCAGGTTCTCCCAGCCACGTGCTTCTATAAACCTGCTGCCCTGCTGTCGAGTCTAACTCACAGTGACCTGGAGGGCAGAGTCCAACTGCACCACAGGGCTTCCAAGCCGGTCAGTCGGTACAGAAGCAGACAGCCACAGCTTTCTCCAGCAGGATGGCTGCTGGGTTTGAACCCCTGACCTGTTGGTGAACAGCTGAGTGCTTAACCACTGCACCACCAGGGCATCTTCGTACTTCCGTAGCCTACAGGCAATTCTTAACATGGCTGATTCAGTGCCCTTGGGTTTCGGGGGTGGGTTTCGGGAACGGTCCAGAATTCCAGTCCATCAGCCCTCATTGGCTTTCTCCTGGGTTGGCAATGTCCTCAGCTCAGCAGAGAAGGGTCCCCTTGACTCGGTATAGTTCTGTTTTCTAGAACCTTCTCCTATCCTCTCCCATGTGTTGACTGAAGCATTGCAGGCTGCAGTGCCCTCCTGCCTGGGGGACTGAAGTGGGGCCCAGCCTGCTGGGAGCCTCCTCTCCCAACAATTACCACGCTGTTCCAGGATACCAGCGGATCAACTGCGACCTGGCACTTGACGCTGTGTCCAGCTGGAAGTGACAAGTCAAATGTCTCTTTACCTGTTTGAATCCAAGTAGCGACCGGATGGACCTCTGTGATGGGAGGAGCTAGGTGGGCCCCCCAAGGTGTCCGCGGCAGTGGGCAGTGGAGGGTGAGAAAGGGTTCTCATTGGACTGGGTGTGAGAGAAAGAGATCAAGCCCATGGGTTTTGTATGATTCCAAATCCTGGGCTTCGGGAGACTTGTTTAAAGAGGGCAGGGGACACATGAACTCCAGCATCTACCCAGTCTGAGGGTGGGTGGGTGTGCCCTGATAAGACAACAGCTCACCTAGCATTGTATCTCCTGCCCTAGCCCTTGCTTTTTGTTCTATAAATGCATGTCTCCTTTTGTTAGCAGGGCTGAATATCGTCCTGGGCATGACCATCTCAGATTTGTGCCAGAGGTAGGAGATGCTTGGTCCACGGTGTGGTGGCAGCAGTGGCCTGGGCCGTGCTGTTTTGCCCTACGTGAGCCATTTCCCTCCTCACAGTCAACCCCGCTTGGCAGCCCTCTGACTTCAGAGGCTCCTGGTGTGGAGGAGACCGTGAGGGCGAGCGACATGCATGCGGATGCCAATGCTGCCTGCCTTGTCCAGCCTCGTCTGAAAGGCTGGTGTTTGGGGCCTTTCGCAGTGTCTGCAAACCCCCAAGTTACCAGGGCACTCTCGGTTATGAAACTTGTTTATTTCCGTAGCCAACGACGGCTCTGCCTCCTTGTTGGAGTAGAATAGCCAGAAAATCCTCAGCCCCTTCCATGGGACCTAGAAGGCGGAAACAAGGAGCAGGAAGGCAGGAGGGGAAGCAGGCCAACCTGGGTGAATTTGCCTTGGGGCTGGAGGGTCTGGGACTGGGAGATTGCGCTAGATTTTAGGCCCCTGGTTTCTGCTCACGGACTCGTAGAGCAGCTTCGGGTCCTGGGTCGTGAGGTCTGCAGAGTTGTTGCTGCTGGTGGTGAGTGACGTGATAGCTTGCTGCTCATTTTAACTCTGAGTAAATATCCGAATTCCAGGTTTAACCACACTCATGGCCAGATAGGTCTGGAGAGAACGGGTGACAAAGGTCGGCTGGCGAGTAGTCTGCAGGTGGGTTCCCCAGTCAGCCCAGGGCCAGCCAGGACCCTCTCATCCCCGCCCCTCAGGCTGCCACTCACGGGAGCGGAATAGACGAAGTAGAAGAGCAGTAACAGCAGAGCACACACGACCAAGAAGGCTAGGATTTTGCAGCGGTATTGTCTATAGATGTGCAGACACAGGTTCTTCACAGGCATCTGAAACCTCTTAAAGGTGTTGTGGAGGCGTCTGCTCACCCCCAGGAGAGACATCGGAGAATGGAGAGGAGAGGAGGAGGTCAGGTGATGTGTGTTTCTTTTTTAAGAAGCAACTACCACTCGTCACTCTGCCCCCCTCCCACGTCCATTCTGTCTGGATAGTAAGGAAGCATCAGGGCGGGGTGGTCGGACGAAGTCATTCCCCTCCACGGGGAGCCCCTACACCATGGAAAATGCCGGGCCCAGCAGCTCAGCTTGGTCAAGGAGGAAGGGAGACTGGGTGCCACTGCCCAAGCCTTACATCGGGGGTTGAAGTGTAGGGTACTGGTTGGGCTCTGACTGGCCCCGGCCGGCCGGCCTGAGGAAGGCCTCATTCACAGTCAGCATCTCCAGAGTCATTTTCACTTTACCCTATAGAAAGACCATGCGTCGGGGGAGGCTGGCTTCAGGTAGCAAGCTTCATTTGAGGGCCACCCCCCAGGATCCAAAAAGGAAGGGGGATTTTAACCAAGGCCCCTGGAAGTCGACGGGAGGCACATTATGTGACGTAGTCCTGGTCAACAGACACCTTCCCCAGTTCCTACCGACAAGCGCCATTTTCCATCATCCAAGACCTGGCAAGGCCACCAGCCGGTCACTGTCTTCTTCTTAAAGAGGGAGAAGTACTTGTGATGGTGGACAGGGAGCCACTTGGTTTCGGGCTCCAGCATCTTGATGGAGCAGCCCTTGGCCCTCCGGGCAGGGAAGGGCATGTCAAACAAATCCATCTCCAAGACCCCTGGGACCCAGAGAGATGCTGTCAGCAAGGAGGCGCACCTAGCCCTGGGGTCCCAAGCTCTGCACCAGAGCCTCACCCAGGAAGTCATCCCTGGAAAAGATGTCGTTGTCCCAGATCTGAATGATGAGCCGCGGTGGGAACTTCACCGACGTGGGGTCCAGGCTCCAGATGTAGTCCTAGATGATGGCAGAGACTCCTCCTAGACACCTGAGTAGCCTGCTGTCCAGCAGTGAGGGCAGATCAAGGAACGCACTTCCTGGGCTGGGAGACAGCTGGCGCCCTGAGGAGGGGGCGGGCCGGCGGGGCGGGAGCCCCTGGAGCCCAAGTGAGCCTTTGGGCTTGTTACCTTCTGGCTCTGCACGCACATCTGCTCGGCTGCCAGGTAGTCCAGGGTGAAGACGAACCTCCAGTTGAAGTAGCCCCTTCCGGAGATGGAGTAGTAGTGGACGTCTGTCTTCTGCATGTCCTTCTCTAGCCCGAATAACCACCTGGGGCCAAAGGCCTGTCACCTGGGGTTGACCGGTACTGCCCCGCCCACGCCCCACGCTGGAGCCCCTGGAGGTGGGCTGTCATCCCCAGGACCAAGAGGACCCAGCAGGCATGGCAGAAGAGGGGACACCGGACTGCCGACCTTCCTCACCCTTTGACGTAGATGTCGCTGCTATTATCTCCAAAATACGTGACGTCCTGAAGGTCCACGTTGGCGACTTCCCAGATAATGCAGCGCAGCTCATACCTGCACCCACTGTGCTCTGAGACTTGGCTCAGGACGAGCTCCCGCCCATCGTGCGAGAGGCCTGGGAAGCTTCTCTCAGTGTTCAAAGACATCTAACTGAACTGCGGGAATTCCGAGGAAGAACACTCCCAGGGTTTCCCATGGAGGACGAGAGTGACTACAGCTATATGTTTGGGAGAGCCAGCGTTGTGGCGGGGAGGCTTGACTGGGAAATGTACCGGCTGAGAGAAGGACCACCACTCACCTTTTCGGCTGCCTGAGGCTGATGTCGACTGGCAGACCAGGAGGCCCAAGCTTCTTGGGGAAGATATCCACCCACAACTGCACCTTTCCCTAGAACCCGGATGGATGAGCCGGTTGGGTTGACTAGCCTCTGTTCTCAACAGGCTGGCCTGGAAGAGCCCCTGCCTGTGTCCCCCACACTTTTGGGTGTGGCACAGAGGTGTCTGTGAGGGGTAGGTGGGCTCTAGACAGGAAGTTGGGCAGCGGCCCACTGGCTCCTCCTGCATTCTTGCTTGGGCCGGGAGACCAGGATGTCACTGAGGGCTGGGCGGGTCATGCTAAACAGCCTGATCAGGCAGGGCTCCAGACAGGTTGGGTCCTCATTTGTTAACCGGCTTGATGGTCCTGAGTCAGAGTAAACTCGATCCATCCAACCTCCACTCCCACCCCCCTAGTCATTTCAGGTGGTGTAACCACTACTCAAGGGTGTTAAGCTCGCCACAAAGTTCGGAGGTGGGAGAGAGAAGATGGGACCTGAATGCAGTGAGGAACGGGTGGAACTGTCAGCCTTGGTGAAAGGATTTAAAAAAAAAAAGATAAAAGATAAATCAGTTTCTTAAAATGCCCTGGCCTAATTTTATTATTATTTTGAAAATGATGCTATTTGAGCAAAGTGGTTTAACGAGAACGGTCTAAGAAGAAGCGATAAAGCTCAATGGAGAAATCTGTAACCAAAATATGGTGTCAGCCTGAGAAATCTAGAGGCGCTAAGCCATTGAGTACCCGCTGAGCCACTAGAGTGAGCTGGGACAGCCAGGGTGCCTGTGGGCATGCTTGCTCTGGTGCTGAGGGGCTCCCTGCATTAAGAAAACAGCCTGCCGTCTGTCTGGAAGACCACTGGACCTGAGCTACTACCTCTTTGCCTCTTGGGAGAGACAAAAGGCAACGGAGGTGTTGGAGGATGGGATTCCTGCGAGCTGCGTCCAGCCACAGGCCTGGGTTTCTTGTGGCTGGCTCGCCCAGCTGCCATGCTGCCTCCTCCCTGAGCGGCCTCTCTGGAACTTCTTGCTAACCAACACGCCCCAAACCTGCTAGTCTGATGCGTGCCCATGTGCATCCGTGGCCACTTGGCCACCCCTCCCTCCCCCTCACATGGGGACGGTGTCCTGGATGGATGGGAGAGAGGACAGGAGACCAACCCAGAAGCCTTTTGTGTTGGAGACCCCTCCCCGAGGGTGTGGATAGCCACGAGGTACAGGGCTTTGGGAAGGAATCAGGAGGAGAGCCGGAGAGACCCCACCCCACCCCTACTCTCGCACCTGGTCGATGCCCGGCTGGCTGTCGCTGTACAGTGTGCGGGTCTCCAGGTGCTCAGGTACCAGCCCCTCGGTGTGCAGGATGTAGAGCGCAAGGCGTTCCTTCTTGGGCCCCAAGTTCTGAGCAGTGGGGGGCTTGGGCTCTGGATTGGAAGGGGCGGGTGACATCTTTTGCTTCCCCATCTCCCAGCTGAGACTCCCTCCTCACCCCACCTTCCCCACCCCAGCCTGGGCGGTGGACGTGGTTGCCCTTTGCGGGAGGGCAGGGAGGGGGACTTTCTGCCTTGGGAGGGTCCTTTCTTTGTCCACCTCTAACCCCCAGTCCTTCCATCTGAGAGACCTCCCTGGTTGCAGAGGTCTGGGCCTGGCCCCACGTTTTCTGGAGGGGGGTGGGGTGCCGTGCTTCTCACCAAAGCGTTGCAGCTGAATTTTTTCCCCAGCGTATAAAACGGAGTCGTCCTCGGTGCTGAACAGAGGCAGGGACAGCCCTCGCAGCTTGGCATGGCGTTCCAGGAGGTGGCTCGGGAGCATCTGATCCCGCCACCTGAAGGGCCCCAACCTGTGGAGGCAGGGAGAGCGTTGAGACGGGAGAATAGTGGTGGGAGTTGCAAGAAGAGCAGAGGTGGAAGCACCGGTCCACGTGGGAGAGCTCCAGGCCCCACTCTCAGATGCAGCCTCTGCAGGAGCTCTGGGCTCACCCAGCCACATACCCTCACCCCACCCCACTGCTGGCGCAGGCCCACTCACAGGCAGTAGGATTTGGAGAGCCCACACCGAGCTCCAAAGCCAGACAGGAGTCGGTTCTCCAGGTCAATGGTTGTGCTGCCAATCTTGTCATCAGGTGAAAGCAGGTCAAAGTCATACAGCTGGATCTCCAGGTCCTTCTCCAGAGGGATGTTGCAACTCATTTCAAACATCCTGGGGGAAGGGTGGAGAGCTCCCCTCTAGCCTCCCAGCCCCAGGGGCGCGGGCTGGTTTAGCTAGGGTGACTATGCAGAGCTGGGGAAGGAGGTAGGCTCTTGTCCACCGAGAACCATCCCTGGGTCAGAGCTGAAAGTCACTGCACTACGGGACTCTGGCAGGCTCTCTTGCCAGACAAAGACTTTGACGGGGAGAGTGGGGCCAGGCCAGCGAGCCAAGCATCTTCCACAATGGAGGCCCTGGTGTGTGTAAGACACCATGCTGGGAACGGGGAGCAGAGAGGGAGCCGGGCTCGTCCCCCCCTGGGGTGCTGACTCCAGGCCTCGTAGGAATGGGGCAGAGCAGGGCAAGGTGAGTTGGGGCAGCTCACATGCCAAAGACGGGGTCCAGAGTGTTGGGCTGATACTTGTCTCGGTTGCCAAGCTGTTTCTGTCCCAGTTTCAGGATCACATAAGGGTCACACTGTCGGGGAGAGAGTGGGTGTGGGGCACTGAAGATCCTTGGCACCCGCTGGAGCCTCTGTGGGGTTGGCCCTCTGAAGGAGTTCCAGATTGGGGCTCGGAGTCAGGTGTGGGAGGTATTGAAGCTGGGGGGTGAGTGGGGGGAGCTGTGGGGCCGGGGCAGCTTTTTTACCAGGCCATTGTAATCCTGGGGCTGCAGGCTGAATGCGCGGACCACGTACACCCGCACCAAGCACTCCTGAGGGAAGCCTTCTCTCTCAGACGAAGCCAAGAACTGGCGGGGGGGCTTGGTGGCTTTAGGATCCTCAGGAAATGGGTAGATGCGGAAAATACCCTGCGTGTATGGGGAGAAGGGGAGGAAGGGGGGAAGGACGGTGTTGGGACCCCAGCCCAGCAGGGCTCAGGGGAACCTGCCAAATGGTTTGCCCCTTCACAGCGGAGGAGAGAGTGGGTTGGGTAGCAGGGCAGGCTGTGAGGAGAGTCATGGGCAGCAGAGGCCCGTTTCAGGGCCCACCGTGTTTCCTGGGCAAGAGTCCCAACCAATGGGTGGGCTCCCAGTTTCTGCTGTTTGTAAACTCTCATTCTACCCAGTCACCCTTTCAGGCTCCAAGCCTCGGGGGGCCTTGGGAGTTGAGGCTAGGTCAGAGTTGGTCCTTCCTCTGCAAAGGGAGGTCACTCTGAATCCCTGCCTGGCATCGTCCAGTCTGTTTTCAATCCCCAGTGCTCTTTCTCAAGCCCTCCCTGGCCCTCCTCACAGTCCGCTCTAGTGGGCCAGGGCTTGTCTTAGCATGGACTGAGCTGGGTTAGGGTCCACCTTGAACTCCCCCACCACGGGGCTGTCCAGCACGGGCTGCTCCTTGTAGAGTGTGAATGTCTGGCAGAAGTCCTGCAGCCCTTTGAAGCTTGGCACAGCCTCCAGCTCACAGTCATACACCTGTGGGAGGGGATGTGCGGCCCAGGCTGCTGGGAGGAGCAGGCCTGGGCTTGACCAGAGTGGGGGAACCTCCCTAGGATCAGAAACAAGGGACCACTAGCTCCCAGGTTGGCTCTGGAGCATGGGCCCCATCAACGCCCTCAGAGCCAGCGTGGCCTGGGCCATCCTGGTGGCCGCAAGGGTGTGGCTGGTAGAAGGGACTCCTGGAGTCTTGTGGAGCGAATGGGCAAGTCCCCTGCCTGGTGGGTCCCTAAGGAATTAAGGCCAGGCTATCCCGGTAGATGTTATTCCACCTCTCTCCCGGCACCCTCCCCTCCCTGGGGGAGCGGGTGGTGGTGAGTGGGTTGGGGGCTGCTCCAAACCTTTAGGGTGTGGTAGTCTCTGTCCTGGTACTTTAAGGACCTATGAGCATCTCCCGTGGCCCAGAAAAACTTGCTCCACCAATCGACTTCATAGTCATAATCATCCTGCGGGGGAGAGGGCCTGCTGGCTCTGGCCCTCGGTGAGGAGGAGGGGATGCCCAGGGTCAGCCATTGCAGTCTGCCCACTCCCCACATGCTGCGCCGGCTAGGGGTCCCCTCACCTCCTCTTTGTGGGCCTTGGGCCGTATCTTTTCGTAGAGGTAACTCAGGAGCTGGAAAAGGAGAGAGGAGGAGCAAGGAGAGGCCAGGCAGCCCGGGGCTCCCTCGCCCAAAAGGGGAGGATGGAGGCCAGGGCTTCCTCCCCTTTCTCCTTGCCCTTCTTCCCACAGGCTCTCTGCCTTTGAATCCAGAGACCCTGAGGCATGAGGTTGGGGAGCAAGGGGGAGGTTAAGCTAGCTCCCACACGGATGACACAGGCCCGCACTGAGCTCTGGGAGGGGCTCCAAGGGGCCTGAGCTCCCACCCGAGACCTACTGACCCAATCTGCTTTTCATCAAGGCCCTGGGTCCAGAGAAGTAACTATGAACCGTGGAATCACAGATGCGGTTGCCTGGGGCGCTACCTTCAGCACTTCTGGGGCAATGGCTGATGGCCGGGGGTCCAGAGTCTTTATTAAAGCTAGGTGAGTTTAGGGCGATCTCGTGGTAGTGCTGGTCACCCGATGGGCTACATTCCAAAAGGTCGGCAGTTGGAAACCCCCAGCTGCTCCCCAGCAGAAAGACGGGGGCTATCTACAGTCTCAGAAACTCAGGTAAGGTCCCTATGACTCTGGGACGGCAGAGAGCGGTGGCAGGTGAGTCCAGGTAGTGAGAACTAGAACCAGTGCGCCCGAGAGTCAGTGTACGAGCAGACCTCACACGCGGGCACCGTCACCTTGACCAAGGACGTTTCTTCAGACGCTGCCCAAGAAGGTGGGACAGCGAGCCCTCTACTCACCTCCTGGTGCTTCTTCCTGGTCAGCGCTGTTTGGGGGAAGAGCAACATGAGCTCAGGCGAGGAGAGGAACGTGGGGTGGAGGGACCCAACCCTAGAGGGGAACCAGCACCTCACCCCACTCCCAGTCGGGGGCTGGAGGTGAGCCCGGGAAGGGCAAGGAGAGGGCTCTACCTGGAAGCCTGGGGGGCTTGTGGTGGTCAGCCCAGGGGTCACAGAAATAGGGCTGCAGGAAGTCAATGTTGGCTTGACCCACCACGGCCTCCCGGCCGAAGTCCTGGGTGTCCACCACCTTCATCATGAGGGGCAGCGAGTAGGCCTCCTCTGTGGGCATAAACTGGGTCCCCGAGGATAGGTCAGCAGTAGGGGTCCTCCGTAGAAATGAGGGCTGCCCCAGCCCTTGCCCGAGGACCTCATACCAGTGTGAAGAAGAGGGGAGACTGGGAGAAGTTGGGGTTGGTCTTGTAGTCCTGGATGGGCTGTGTCCTCCGGGTCTGTTCCCCACATTCCACCAGGAGATACGGGGAATGCACATTCTTCAGGTTCCGAAGACCCCAGGCCAGGACCTACCAGAACAGCAGAGGGAGGCTGAGCAAGGGTTAGAGGGCACCTCTGAGACGGGGTTCTGGCCAGAGAGAAGGGGGCATCCTAGGCATGCCAGAGAACATGCAGGGCTGGGGAGCCAGGCTAGCAGAGAACTCAGCCGGCAGGCCCACTGTCTGTGAGGGGCCCGTACATGTCCCCTAGGCCTGAATGCTGTCCTCTCTCCTCTAGGAGGTAGGGGACTAGCTCCCTTACTGACCACCAAGACCACCTACTCCCATACTGTCTTGTCTGACCTCTAATCTGTCCTCGGGAGGGAGCTCCTGAGGCCCTTAAGGCCACAAAACCAGGGAGCGGTGGTGCCCGGGTGTCCCAGGCTCCTTCGTGGCATTGAGTCCCTCGCTCCACGGCCATCCGGTGACCCAGCATGCAGTGCTCTCCTCTCCCTGTCACCTGACAGACCCTGCGCACCCCAGGAAATGAGCATGATCCTCTTTGGGAAGCCTCTCCGGGGGGACCCCCTGAGTGTGAGTCAGCCAGGTAGCCTGATCTTAGGGAGGAGCTGACTGCCCTTCGCTCTCGGCCAAGCTTCTCACAGAATTCGGACGGCGAAGGACGTGCAGACCTGGGATTGCGGGAGAGCTGGGCCCCTGGGCCCTGGCTCGTGTGTGGGATAAGTCCTCTCTGAGAGTGCTTTCTTCTTGGAAAGCACCATCTCTCTTGCTTAGGGTCAGGGTGAGGCTCAAATGCCACAGTGAATGGTAAAGATTTTGGGGCACTACCCCCAGTAGATTTGCGTTCAAAGGTTAGATCAGAGCCTCTGCTCTTCATTGCTCTCGGTTTCGATTCATTCATCTCCCAGAGAGCATCTTATTGGGGTCCACACCTGGCGGCAGGTGGCTGATCCAAGAAGCGTTAGTAGAGAGAGATCCTTGAGCTCCACTCTGCTCTGGGGACCTGTACCCTGCCCAGCCTCTCCGGCCCGTGCTTCCTGCCCTGGCTCCCTCCGGCCTTACACCACCATCACCTCGATAGCCATCTTCTTCAGAATGGGCTGAATGTCCTTGGGGAGCAGGTAGATATTATTCTTCCAGGGAACACTTAAGATCGGCGGTTTCTTTTCTCGGACACTCTTGAAGGGTGAAGTGGGAGAGCAGACAGCATGAGACCCCTTTGGACCTGCCCTTCTGCCATGCCCTCACCCCACTCAAGCAGAAAGGTCCAACTGAGGAGGCCATAGAACCCCAGGGGGAGTAGCTGTGTGTGTGTGTGTGTGGGGG